AAAAAAGTCACTCAAGCTAATTTAAAACTCCTTTAAATCTTGCACGAATACGTCGCGATCATCGCTATTCATACGAACTTCAATTAGGATTAGGACACTTATTCCACATTCATTACGTTAGATCGTAAATCCATACGACCTGATTTCGCGTGATTCGCCTACGCTATGCATTCAATTAGGTCTTGCCAACTCCAAATAAGGCATTTCCGAGATTATCCATCCCAGCTCGACATTATATGACGTGGGACTCTGAGTGAGTTTTTTCTAGTTTTCGAAGAGGGACCTACTACTTCTTTTAAAACATAAAGTTTCGCCTTATTACCTATATTATCACGAATTAAGCAGATCAACTTATACTTGCGCCTCAAAAAATATAATACTTATATTTGAGACATAGAGCCACTCATACAAGCGGGAACTACGCTAATCACAATGATTAAACTAAGGTTGGTAATTAATCTTTATTGCTACGATACTATAACTGGTCTTCAGTTTTCGTTACGTTATTGTTTTGTGGTGGTTTAATAATGCGCTTTAGGGGCTTATCAATCAATTAAGGCCATAATCTGTATCGTATTGAATGTGTGACACTCTAGTACATACAAGCGGCGCTGGGGAGGTGAAAATTAATTAAACAGTTTTGGGGTTGAAAATGAACAGCTGCTTGAGATATTGTTATTAAATTTGTAGATCCTTTGAAGCTAATATTGGGGACTCATAATTCCAAATAAGAAGATTCTTACCTAAGTACTTATTTACGATTAGAATATAACGTGGTACAGGTGTATGAAATGAGCGGTTAGAAAACTTGTAGGAAACTTGCTTTATGGGAAGTAAAATTATGTATCAGTTATTCTTCATCTTCAAAATGGATAACTACTGATCAACTGTAGCTAAATGGAATATAGGTAGAATTACCGTAATCTTGGAAACTAAAAAGGGACAGGGGCCATCATTTTGATGCCCCCTGTCCTTTTCTCCCTGAGGAACAAAAAAGTTGTTGACGTAGTATTGAACCTCATCTTCTTTTGATACAAAAACTATTTAATAAAAGAAATTTCAACGGGTTAGATGCACTGATTTTATTTATTTATTGACGTTTCGCAGCCTTTGCAGGAATGCGTCGTCAAAATAATGACCCTAATAATTCCTGCAAAGGCTGCGAAACGTCAATAAATAAATAAAATCAGTGCATCTAACCAGTTGAAATTTGTTTTTTTAATGAGTGATGTGCGTGAAAATCTAAGAAACAAATACAAAAACTTAAAAAAATGAAATAAATGGCTGTCGTGAACTTTTTTAAGTAACTTTAAGGGGAAGAATTCCGTCATGCATGATTTTTGTGTAACTTTAACCGTTTACCCAGCGCACGCAACGGAATCTCACAAATGGAATATTTTTACCCGTTTTTGCAACATTTTTAGTCGACAGAGTTAGTAGTCGATTTTTTCAATCGGAACAGCAGAGCAATGTTGCATTGGAAGGTTTATAATTATTATGCATAAAGCCATTGTGTATTATGCAAGCCTATGAACAAAAACTACAGTCTATACTACAGCTCTACACTGAAACAAAGCGAGGGCGGGCCACTAGTCACTAATAAAGAAAAAAACTACAAGCATCACCGCTGGAAGAATCAGCGGCCATGCGGGGGTGTCGTCCCTCCCAGGTCGCTTTCATGGAAGCACAAGCTCCGTCGTGCTCACCAGCGACCCGCGGCGGCGCATCATGCCATTATCTGGAGCGGGATCGGCCATCGCCCGATCCCGCTCGGCGGTTTCCTTCTGGAGCATCACCGCTTCACAGAAGGAGACCGCAGCCCTCCAACCTCCCTCATCCGCCAGCGTTGCCGAAATTAATGCTAGCGGAGACAGATCTTGCCCGATTTCTCCGACCAAGACTCGACGTTCGGAGTCCCAAGCGGGACAATCCGCCAGTGTATGCTGGGCCGAGTCGAGTTCGGATGCTCAATGGTGACATCGTGCCGTGTCCTCCATCCCTATTTGACTCAGATACTCACCGAAACAACCATGTCCGGTGAGTACCTGAGCTCTAGCTGTGCGCGCCAATCCCCCTCAACCCGTCGGTGCAACTCCCGCCTGTGTATTCCATGCCCGGGTTCAGGGGAGCTCCCCTCGTCTCCCCCCCGGCCGACATGTCGCGGCGCGTTATACATCACCGCGTACATGTTGGCCAGGATTTCGAAAGGGGAGCGAACGCCCCAGAACCGTCGCCACCTCGTACGAGATTGTGCGGTAGCCCAGCACGATCCGTATAGCCATTGTTCCGCTGCATGCTCCGGAGAAGAGCTCTGCAGCGGTAGGACCTCGGGAGCGGGCGGCGGCACTTCGGAGGGACTATCCTGGACCCTCGGGAAGAGCGTATCCACCACTCTTCCCGCGAAGTCGGGGTCCAGGGTTTCCGTCAGAGGAGGGACCCACGGTCGGAGCTTGCCCAGTACCATTTTGTACGGGCGCCCCCATGGCTTCCTTTCCAGTTCCTCCAGGAGCTCGTTCCAGGACCCCGCCTTGGCGTCAGCGATGACGATGCTGATGGCCTTGGCAGCGGTTCCGTATGCCCTTCTGGCACTCAGGACTTCCTCGCCTAAGGCTTGCCTTCTTCTGCGGGCCCTGAGTACTGGCGTCGCGTGGCTATTACTGCGATCCTAAGCCGCGTGATTTCCTCATTCCACCAGTATGCAGAGCTCCGCCGGCGGGGAAAACCTAGGATGTCCGGTGCGGTGGGCAAAGGTCGCGCACTTAGCTCGCAGCGCTGTCATGTCCGCGCACATCTGCGGATCACCCCAAATAACCCGGGTGATTCCTGCCGTGGAGGCCCGCCTAGTTCGGGAGGCTGTTGGGAGCGGGGACGTGGTGAAGTCCCTCAACGGGGATCTCGCGGTCCCGCACTTAACAGCGTAGAGGGTATTCGCAGGGTTTTTTAGCGGATAGTATGCCGTAAGCGTTCGTAAGCTGCACGAACTGCTGCGTGAGACTTGCGAGAGGCCAGGTGTGAGGTCCGTTCGTTAGTGTGGCGACAAGGGCGACAACTTTAAAAAAAGAGGTGTGCGGTCCGTTCTTTGGTGTGTCCCTTTTTGAGCGCCAACGTCTGTAAATAGAGGATTTGCCTGCGTAATAAAAAAAGGGGGGGTGCTAGGGTAATGTTTGCTCACAGGCGCTACATGGGCTAGAGACGCCTCTGTAATCGGGGACGTGTTCCTAGATTGATCGGTTTGGCGGCAGCGTTGAGCTCATTAGTAATCAAAATTTAAAGGCGGTGGCGAATTATGTCGAACTTTACATGAACGTAGTGCGCTCTATGGCTCTATATGCAGCTCCAATTTGGTCAAAGTTCTTAATCGATAGACACACAGCTCTACTTTATAAAACTTAACCTTATGACTGTCAGAATATGTAGGGATTACCGTAGTACTTCACACTCAGCGGCTTGCGATCTTGGGGGATCTCTTTCCTGGGACCTTGATGCTGCGAAGTGTATTGTTAAGTTTTATTTATTTTAGGTATAACTAGATAATATCTTCAATAGCAAAGTAGTAAGAGCAGAGTCATCTCCACTGGAAGCACCCGTTCACGAGCACGACGCATTAACCAACCATCGCTTCAATAGCAAAGTAGTAAGAGCAGAGTCATCTCCGCTGGAAGCACCCGTTCACGAGCACGACGCATTAACCAACCATCGTTTCACGCAACCATATTTGAGGGAACGTAACAACCCGCTACATAGGGACCCAGGGCGCCGGGCATGGAGAATACCCGGGCTCCTCGACTACAGAAAAGTCCCCTGAGTTGAGCGACGCACCAAGTGAGATGTGAGGGCATGATACACAGCCTTCGGGGCCGTTCAAGTATTACGTAAGCACTACTACCGTTAATTGGAATTAATATGTATACCAAAAATTCGAAAGAAGTTTGTTTTGTTCGTAATGTTGAATACTGTGTCAATAAAGTTTGTTTAAATGAATATTTTGTGCGTTAGTGCTTTATCCTAAGCCTATTTATTTAAGCTCATGAAGCTCATGAATCAATAAAAAAACAGAATACATTAAAAAAATGCATATAAGTAAATTATTAGTATGTTTTTTTATTTAAATGATTACTTGAATGATGAGGGGGGGGAGAGGGGTAAGAGCTTTGCTTACGTTTTTGCTGACAAGGGGGAGGAGGGGGTAATAATTTAGTAATAATTTTAATAAATCTGCTTACGTAATACTTGATTCAACGGCCCCTTCCCTTCCAGAGGTAGGTCTTCCCTTGCTAAGTGTAGCAAGCAGTCAATGCCTGGCTGGCTATGATGCGTATCGGACCCGTAGTGACGCCGTAAGTCGGTGATGTATGGAACAACGTGTGGGATATAGTTGGTAGGCCCTTGCCCAGTGATTACTTGCTCAGTGCACTTGCCTACCGACTAGGGGAAAGTTCTTCTAGTGGGTAGGCAGGGAAAAGTCCGACATAACCCCCGTATATTTAGTAAATAGGTAATTAAAAGTCAAACAACATATTTATCAATGCAGTTGACCAAAAGAAATTTATTTCGATTCGTACTTATTACATAATAAGTATAGTTATTCATTTAAATATTTTTCTTTTTTTTAACATAAGTAACAGAACAGTGAAATAATAAGTGTGCAATATTACATTTTCTGCTCAAAATAATTATCATTAGGTAGTTATTAACATAGGCTTAATACGTAATTTTATCACAATTAATATGAAAATATATAATTATTTAACTATGTTAGCTTGAGGCATTCACCCGTCAATATCACACGAATTTTCAGATATTATAGTTCATGCATAACAAACGACAAAAATAAGGTCAATATTACCAGATTATCCACATCATATTGTAGGTACGTCACACATCCTTAAAATACAAGAAATTGGTTAAAATTACATATTGCTTGGTATCCTCAAAATATTATGCAAGTACTTTTATTTAACAAATTGATTTCTAATTTATCTCGTAAACAAATATAATTAATCGTTACTGTAAATAAAATAAAAAAAACAAGGCATCAGATTATGGATAATTGAACTTAATTTCAAACTACAATAGTTAGGATTAAATAATACGACAATCAACATACAGTGATTAACTTAGAATTAATGGAATATTCTATAAGGGATCACATCTCCACTCCCCAACCGAAAACGTAAACGAAACGCAGCGAATGACTCCATGCTCAGTCAATACATTCAAAAGGCGCAACGAAACTTTCACAGATCATCAAAACAATGCTCTCTTCCCTAACAAAGGTCGAAACAGAAACCTCTTTAATGTTCCCGAGAAGCGAGAATGAATTAACATGAGTTAATTTTTACACAAGTAATATCCGAATGAGAACGCGTTTTGGGTGCACGCGTTGTTGAAGTCTTTTCACATGGACGTTGGCGACCAGAAGTTCATTTCCCGCAGCTCCGAAGGTTTCGGTCGGAAAGCGTTTGCCGGTCTGGCTGCTCGATTTGGTTCTGTACTACCGCTGCTACTTTGAGATACTTTAGGCCCTTTGTCTCTGGGTGCAGGGCCCAGACTCTCTACGGACTCGGCTAAAGTACCACCTAGAAAGAAATAAATTGATAATAAAAACCATTGTTTTTTTTAACAAATTTACGTATAAACGCTGTAAATAAAAAGGAGGTCGGATATATTTTGACGACCTCCGTGGCCGAGTGGTTTATGCGCCGGGTTTCATGGTGTCGCCGACTCGAGAGGTCCCAGGTTCGGATCCCGGTGGGGGCAGATGTTTGTATGATGAATACGAGCATTTGTACTCCAGTCATGGATGTTTAATATTTATTTCTATATAAATATACTCCTTTATGTACAATATATGTATTCTATCCGTTACCCTAAGTACCCCATAACACAAGAGGCTAATTGGTGTGAGTGTTAGAAATATTTATCCATTTATTTATATATTGGGAGTGCACAAAAAAATCCACCATTTAGGCACCTTCGTCATGTTGGAATTAGTATGACATCACTAGTGTCTTCAGGGCCGGATTTAGAGGTCCAGAGGCCTTGGGGCAACAGAGGAGCGGAGGCCCCCTCACCCCAAATTATTTTCCAAATAAAGTAAACAATTTTTTTTCAGTCGAGTTTTCCAATAAATAATTTATTGTGAACCAAGTAGATTCTCTTAGTATTGAACAAACACATATAAATATAAACGGAAACAAGAATTATCTGAAATTAAATCTTAGAGTTAACGAACGGAACCTTTCGAGCTTTTTTCGCCGAAAAATCGTTGATGATTTCGATTATTTTTTCCGAAGTCTCTATTGTGGGGGCCCCCCGTTTGTGGAGGCCCCGGGGCTTTCGCCCCGGTTGCCCTCCCCTAAATCCGGCAACGAGTGTCTTTCTAATTATTGAATCTGTATCAAATTAAATTACACTTGACTGTACTTTACTTCGGCTGGATTTCGAGACTGCGTTGAATGTCATCCGAAATTTCCTATCAATCATGCATGATAGGTATATGACGATGGGAGATTTTAACAACCCTTTAACACACACAGCTATGCAATAATAATATTTCTTTAAGGAGCATTGAGCAAAACCAGAAGCACGGAATATTTATAGACGCGCATATTTTGTATACGATTAAGGTGCCACAAAACGAAGTACCGTGTTCGTCGGAAATTAACCAAGACGTCAATCGCGATAACGACTTAGATGCTAACCTACTAATCTAAAAACGGAGTCGGATTGATTACTGCTACCTATGTGATTCTTACATTTAAATCTATCTGTGCACAAAGTTTTTGTGTGAATCTAACTACTCTTTAATGGTGTCGATTTTGTCATGATTTTCTAGGCCTAAAACAAAAAAAAATATGCATTAACCCTTTTCATATTCCGTGGTTATACAACTGTCATATTTTTGTGTGTTATCTACGAATCGGGATTGGTTAACAATTTCATTCAATGTATACAAAAAAAAATGTGATTAATTGAAATTAAAATTATTAATAAGAGCTTAGCTAAATGTTGTTCAGACTAAAATTTATCAAGTCTAACACTATGAATCAGTTTTAAAGGAAATGTTAACGACAAGATTACGCGGGATTTCCACCTCTTTCATACAGCGATAATTTCTAGATTGTGTTTCATTCAAATCTCTTCGTCATTTTATCAGTAGGTTTATCTTTCGCCGTGAAACTGCCGAGAATGAATTAAATGTTACTAAATTAGTCCTTAAAAAAACTATGTTACAAAAAAACTATGTTTTTATAAGTACCAAGTACAAATAGATGATACTTTTTATCAACCCACAAATACCCATAAAGTTCCCATTGTTGCTGTTTCGAAATTGCGCAAGCTATTACTAAATAACGATGATAATTAAGATTACGTCATATTCTTTATATGTATTTATTTTTGATAACAGTTCTTGAAGTTTCAACAAACACGTAGAAGAAATCCAAAACATCTATAAATAAATATATCAATAAATTTTCTAGATTGAATTTGATGCGTATGCGACGTAGGTACGTACCTACGTAAGTAATTTAAGTACGTATCAAAGACTTTATCAACCAAATAAAGCCAAATAATTTTGAATATTATATAAATAGAATATTATTTATATCAATAAATATTGCAAGTACTCTAACAGACAATGGTCTGATTATTGAATTCATTCTTCACCATAACCTCTCGTTGTGGCATGAGGCTTGTCATGCATAAAATGTTAATTGTTAAGTTTCGAAATCTCCCGTTATTGAATATTGATTGAAAGATATACATTAATCTAAAAACACAAATTTCGTACATGGAAAATAGACTCCTGATCCCATACACTCACAAAGTAAAGACATGTTTATTTTGACATTAACAGTGTCTGTATTACGTAGTAAGATGAACTGTATTATTAGGTCAGTTTATTATTAGGGCAAATTATATCCGAATGGAAACTAAAAATACCAATTTCCTACACAGAGAGTAATAGCCCCCGTAAAGAACAGTCAAGTACATTGATAAATATAATTTGACATTGACACTGCCCTTACTACATAGTAATAAGTGTAAATATCACACTTATTACTATGTAGTAAGTTTATATTACTTCCTACTTATATTATAAACGCGAAAGTTTGTATGCATAATTATAACTCTTTCACGCAAAAACTAGTGAATGTATTTCAATAAAACTTTACTTTTAATTATATGGCTCACATATTACAATAACTTATTGGCTATAATTTATAAAGCTTTTGGTGTCGATTTTGACAAGATTCTCTAAACCTAAAATTAAATTTGACAACAGTGTATCCCTATCATACTCTATACAGAATGAAAAGAAAAGACTGATGTTAAGTGGAGTAAATAATCTTGCGCAGATGAAATCGCAGGCAGAAGCTAGTTATCAATGTTATGAAGTATCATGTATAATTTACCTTGCAGCCTGGTTTCAATGACATCTTCTTCAGCCAAAGTGGATGTGGATGTGGTAAGATCTTTCTTGAAACCCAGTAACGCCATAGTTAACCAAGAGCGTCCTTGGGCCTCTTCTGACTGCTCAAAGGGAGATGTGAAGTAGCTGTCAATGAAAAAAATTATGTATAAAATATATTATTGAATTGCCTTGCCGCCTAAAAAATACTAAAAGAAATTCGACACGGCCATTAGATCTCGGTTGCACAATTGGTTAGTGCGTCCGCCCAGTTAGCGGGAGATGGAAGTTCGAATCTTATCCGAGGACTGCTCCTGGAATATTTTCTAATGAAATTTTCTTTAGATTTCTAAATCGAGCAGTTTAATAAATACTTATAATGAATGTTTAATAAAATATTGTGTTATCACTTCAAAAAATATGTAATATGCGGTTAAGACATATTGTCAATATTTTCCTTAAATGAGACTATAACCATATATTTATAGTTTTGATGTAACTTATTTCGAATCCGGATCAGAAAGAAAACAATACCAATAATATTGATACATAAAAAGTGAATGACTTTGATGACATTGACATTCAAAATTAATCCGGTTTCTTCTATTCACTGTACATAATTATTGTAGGTTTAACGTGCCTTCTGTAGCACGGAGGAACTCGAGATAGTAAATTAAAGTCGCCCATCCAATGATTGGCCATTTCGTAAGTTGCTTAATTTCAACGATTGCAGCCGAACGCGCTAACCACTTGCGCCATCGAGCTCCTATATTAAATAGTACTGAAGGAACACCGTGGAGGGGAGCTCATTCCATAATTTTATTGTCAATGAAATAAAAGATCTCTGGAAATTAACAGTTGCGGCTTTCCAGATCTACAGCTCGACGTAGGATGCATGCTAATCGGTAACAAATGTATTAAATTGCAATAATAAGTAACAGGGGTTAATAATTCGTGAGTCCTTCAAAAAGGTGCGAAGAAGCACAATATGTGTACGCCGGTAAAGTGAATATGGCTAGTAAGGTTATTCAAAAATGCTGTTAAAAATCTTAAGCTGTAGTAATAGCGAAGGCAATCCCGATAGGCCCCCAGGTGGGGTACAGTTATTTGCCTTAAGAGCGGACGCGAACTGAGAGACATTTGAGAAATAGGTGTTTGAATAAACTATTGCTGTCGCGCATTGGAAAATACAGTAGAACGCTGATTATCCAAATTAATTGGGACTGGGGTCGATTCGGATAATCAAAAATTCGGATAATCGGACATGACTAGTAATAAAGAAAATCGAACTGTCACACAGAATAAACCTTATTAAGTTAAACAAACACAGTTCTACAATACTAAATACAATAATAGAAACTAAAAATTTACTATCTCGAGCTCCTCCGTGCTTCGGAAGGTACGTTAAGCTGTTGGTCCCGGCTGCATCTGCAGTCGTTAGCACCCACCAATCCGCACAGGGTCATAGCCCAATCTCCCTATTCCTTCCATAAGGAAGGCCTGTGCTTCAGTAGTGGGGACATTAATAGGCTGGTGATGTGTGATGTGTATTGGATGTTAAATAGAGTGTTCTACGAAAGGGAGAGGCATGGCTGTCACTGGAATTTCTGATGTTCATATGGGCGACGGTGACCACTTAACATCAGGTGGTCCATCCGCTCGTCCACCTTCGTTGGCTATAAAAAAAAGTGGCGTATGGGCGGTCTTATCACTAAGAGTGATCTCTTCCAGACAACCTTAGGATGGAGGACAAGAAAGAAGCTGGAGAGGCGGCGGTGTAAATAACTACACAAAACAACATAAAAATCAATCAAACAAATATGATCAAAATAAGTATATAAAACAATACACACATACATATACCTACATGAATACATACATAGTTATATACATACATACCTGTGTCTAATTCAGTCAGCTAAGATCAACAAAAATGGAAGGGTTACCAGGACATATAGTGAGATCTAACAAGATTTTTGAAAATGTGGATAGATTTTGCACGTCTAGCTATTGCAATAAAATAAATACGTTACCGATTAGCGTTCATCCTGCGACGGGCCGTAGGGCTGGAAGGGGGCGAATGGGCGGGCGTGACGGGTAAACTCTTGCTGCCGCGTCGCGGGGTCGCGCGGTACTGTGCCTCCATGGAATCCTCAGCGGGCGATGCGACCGTGAAACCGCGCGACGAAGATATCATCTGATGCGCGACCTACGGCAACAAAACGATAACGATGTACTTAGGTACTTACATTCCAACGCTTTAGGACACATTTGTCAGATTTCTTTGTCTTAAGAATAAATAATTGGCTGTTTCTTTTTCTAACTAAAACGGAGTTTCGGTCTAATTCTGCTTTGGTCAGAATAAATTATCGACTTTTTTTTCTGACAAAAGCGTAAATCACAAATTTGCGAAGGTTTAATACATATTATGGTTATTATTAAACATTGCAAGCCATAACTGTCTGCAACAGTTACGAAAATTGAGCTTATTTTCCTGTGTACCCTTGGCTGTTCCCTTGAGGATATAGTGGAAAGTTATTTTTAACCGCTGTACCCTTGGCCATTAAACCCGATCGAATTATACGGATCAATCTCAGAAGGTCCATAAAAGGTAATAACCGCATCCACATGATTGGTGTGTTAGAAATATTAATTTATTGAAATATGTGCGAACCCATTGCGGTACAATAATATTATGAATCTATATCTGGTATTGATTGTATTATTTTGCTTTCTTAGAATTCACCAGACGCCACCGTGAAACCGCGCGACGATGATATCATCCGATTCGCGACCTATGATAAAAAATACGATACCCATATAGATAATAATGGGTATACACCCCGGCAAACTTGCAAATGTAGTAGCAAATTTTATATACAAAAACGTCTACTGCGCAAATTTATTTGGTGGCTTTGCCCAAAAAGTTTGCCGCTACCTGTACTGACTAATCATTTAGTCACAATAATAATACAAACCCATATCTTTTATTGTTTGTATAATTTTTGATCGCAGAATTCACCGGACGCTACCGTGAAGCCGCGCGGCTACACTACCGTTTTGTACTGTCTTATTAGATATCAGACTACTCATTGAACTACATAAATAATTTTAACCGATATCTTTAAGTACCTATATACTGACAACCTGCACTAACGATGTATTCGCTACTTAGGTACCTACCTAACCCACTGTGCTACGATAATAATATCAACAAATGATAGCTTTATTATTGTGTTGATCTTACAATGAATATTGTGTTATTATTGTTTATTGATTTGATTTGTTTTGTGGTATAAATATGTTTATAGTTGTTTCAGTCATTGCTTATAGGTAACATAACAAACAAGAAACACTATCTAATTAAATGCCTGTTGTTAATCCAAATCTAGTAAGAATTGGTAATCGTAATCATTTTCTGTCTATACCTCCAGTTTATTAAACTTGTTAACTTGCGTTAAATATAAAAAAACGAGCGAGCCTTACAGTAGTCGCGTATGATGTGTAACATTTGAAATCTCACCTTATATTAGTAAAAAAAGAAATAAAACCTACTTCAAAAGGAATAAGCCATTTGAACATTATGTTCTAAAATCAAATCAAATAGCGCGCGCTTTCGCGACTTCCTGTTACACAAATCCGTCCCATTTCACGAAATCACTCGCACAAATTGCAGGAAAGCGAGAGGAAAGATGTTACACATCAATAAAACCTAGTTCAAAAGGAATAAGCCATTTGAACATTATGTTCTAAAATCAAATCAAATAGCGCGCGCTTTCGCGACTTCCTGTTACACACTTCCGTCCCATTTCACAAAATCACTCTCACAAATTACAGGAAAGCGAGAGGAAAGCTGTTACACATCAATAAAACCTACTTCAAAGGAATAAGCCATTTCAACATTATGTTCTAAAATCATCTATCTAGCTTCTGGCTTAGAAGTTTGTGAAAGCAGCTTTCGTTACTCATTGTATTTTTAGTAGTGACAGTGAAATAAATACGTAACACCTAACTGGACAACAGAAGAGTGTGCTTGCCAAAGTAAACATTAAACTAAAATATAAATTACTAGTGAATCGCATCACATACGCATCGTACGAAACTTAAAGGCACATGTCGTGCAACGTGCAATATACTATCATAGTTTAATGGATACAGAGCAGAACGATTTATATTAATTTAATTAAAAAATGAATTTCCGACATGCTAATGTAACATATAGCACTTTATCCATGTTGACAAAATAAATATGGCAAGTAATTACAATTAAGTGGCTATATAATCATATCAAAGAACTGGCTCTCATATCGTTCCCTGTGTGACGTGCCAACCAAAGAATCATTACCAAAGTTGGCAATCTGGTTTGATTCTTAGTATTGTGCAGAACTGGTTTTACCAGGAAATGTAATAGGTATGCGAATTCTTTATAAGTAACTGACTGACAATTAACGAATTGGCGACAGGAAGGTGCGTAACGAGCAAAAACAAAGGGATCTAACCTTTTCAGTGAAACCTTGTCGGCGTTGATAACATCCTCCTGTATACTTGTGAAGCGCAACTACACAGCTATATCAGAAATATTGTAGTAATTTAGTTTCAAGGATGAAGGGAGTGATAATTGAAAATGCACTAAACATTATACCCGACACGTCACAATAAACTGACGAATATTGTATCTCTCGGACGACGGTCGGTTGAAAACTAACTATAATATCATAATCTATATACAAACACACAGAAACGAATGATGCAATTAGACGTCGCTCTTGATAGATAACAAATATAATTAAGTATATCATGAGGCTTCTCCAATGAAGTTAAGTAGTTACGATCACTCGGTGGGTCTGTGTGTACTGACCTTGACCACGGAGTTGCCACACGCAGCTCCCTCGCCTTTGAACCCGTCGTCCACACCCGCTGGTTTTGGTTTCGAAGAGACAGAGTTAACTGTAAACAAACAATACAATACATTAACATCACACCACTTTGTACAATCAATACAGCACGACAGGTACACTTTCAAAGTTTGACAATTGTTTTATAACTAGAACGCGTGACAAAGTTAATTGACTTCATATTTGTGATAACAAATAACCTAGCTTACTGTCGTGATCTGAGATGTTTCATCACCTCAGTCTGTTTTCTTTATAGAAAAAATCCAAAGGAAAATGAAATCATAAAGATCAAGTGTCAGCATCACTGTTATTTTATTTCTGTGGACAGTAATAAACTAGAGCATTTCCTTAAAATGTAACGTTGTAACAAATGGTAAACAATACAAGCATAAGTTAAAAATTCTTGTGCATTTCCATATACCTAATGTAACGTTTCATTTTGCAAATTATTTATGCATTATTGTAGATGCTTACAGGCAACTGTGCCTTTACCTTTATTTTTTGCTATTTTGAATGTTCGTTATTTTTTCCGATGCTTGATTTGATGGAAAAAATGTTACACAAATTCGCTCGTTGGTTATAAAATATTAACTCAGGTTGTAACAAAACATCGAACATGGTGCTTAAAATTTGGCTATGTTATGATACGTAAGCGTCTCGTTTTGTCACATGTAAATGCTTGCTTTGGGCTATCTAAACCCCAACGTCACAAAAGGATATTAGCATTACAAATATTCCTAGGTTCAGGTCAGGAATTTGAATAAGCATTACTTAAACAACTTGGTTTGTTTGACTCTATGCTATGATAACTATCACCTACGAATTTCTTTTTTATATATCAATTATTTTAAATATATAGGGAAATCTTGCCTCAAAATCATTAAATTAAACATAATACCCAAATCATATTAAAACCTCATGGATAAAGTAAGGGTGCATACAACCAAACTATATAAAAATATGTTATATATAACATGTTAAACAACATGTTATACAAGTTTGGATGGATAATGTTACATTATATGGACGTCTTATACAAGGTGTTTGGAAGATGAGTGCAAAGCTTTAAAGGAAAGCTCACAGAGACCATTTAGAAACATTTAAGCCATACTTGTCATAGACGAAGTCTGACCATTTTATTTTTAATAATTTTTAACGATTGTAAAGAAAAAAACCTAAAAGTACACAGTTAGATCCAAATAATGGCTAAATGACATAATAAATGAATTCTTTTTGAATTTATTTCATAAAACAAATATGAAAACAAACTAAGAAAAAAAGTTTAAAACATCTGTATCAGCAAACAAATTTTTTACAGATATTTAAAATTATCGTAAATTTTTAAAATGGTAAAAAGCTGTTTATCTTAGGCTTACAAAAAAAAACACGGAGGGTGTATTTGTTTGTTCAAATCTTTTTAAAAACATATTCAGTTATTATACTTTCTATTGAGGTATCGTTTATGCAAATTGCTTAGAAATTGTTGAAACTAAGATCAGAAATCCTAATTGAGGAAGATTTTTTTATGTTTTAAATGAGCTTTGAACAAACAAAACACCCTCCGTGTTTTTTTTTGTAAGCCTAAGATAAACAGCTTTTTACCATTTTAAAAATTTACGATAGTTTTAAATATCTGTAAAAAATTTGTTTGCTTTGCAGATGTTTTAAACTTTTTTTCTTAGTTTGTTCTCACATTTGTTTTATGAAATAAATTCAAAAAGAATTCATTTATTATGTCATTTAGCCATTATTTGGAACTAACTGTGTACTTTTAGGTTTTTGTCTTTAAAATCGTTAAAAAATATTAAAAATAAAATGGTCAGACTTCGTCTATGACAAGTATGGCTTAAATGTTTCTAAATGGTCTCTGTGAGCTTTCCTTTAAAGCTTTGCACTCATCTTCCAAACACCCTGTATAACAAAATTCATATAAATATCATGTTTTATAATTAATCTGGAAGGACCTTCATGTGCTAAATCGTAGTAAGCTTTTAAATTTGGATTAAGAATGTTGGTGTTAGCAGCCCTTAATTTCTACGTTGTGTTAATTTAACAAACAATTTTCTGACGAAATTGAGGCAAATTGTACGCACACAGCAAATAATCAATTAGTATCTTCATATCTGTTTGCTTTAAAAACACCTCGCAAACAAAATATTCACTTATTTAACTTTCACGTCACTCACATTAAACGATAAATACAAACTGTAACTAAAGCGCCCCGCCTTTGAACTAAATATATTTAGAATGTACTGCCTCTAGGTAATTAAAACATAAAAAGTTAAGTAATTAAATATTGTCATTGACGTCTTATGGTCAATTTGTTAATTACGTATTAATTAGTAATTAATAGTTAACTTATAACAAACGTCATTACTATTAGCTAATGATATTATTTTATATACGAAGCTGAAATTGTAGTGAATATTATTAGCTTTTGCCATTTAAACTTTCAACATTTAAATTAAGATTTAAACATTAAAGAAACACCTTATTCCATATGGAAAATGTAAAACAAGGCTACAAAATAATCAAGAAACTTGATAAAATAAAATATGAACCACATGGAGATTTATGCTCCAATTTCATCATCATCATCCATAAAATTAGACACTTAAAGAACAAACGCCCACAGACAATAAATATTATCACTTACAAATAAAATACTTAGTCGCGTATCTATTTTATAAATAATCAAGCATTTTGGAAATTAAATAAAAATATACATAGGCTCACCAGCTGTGTTAATAGGAGCGATGCCGTGCAGAACGTCTTGGCAAGACTTGGTGTGCTTCGACCAATCTTTCTCCTTCGCGTTGGGGAACGCCGACGCAGCTTTGACTTCCTTGGGTAGCTCACTCAACAGACTCGGCAGATCCTGCTCTACCTTCGTCTTGCCGAATATAGTCTCAGTTTTCGGATAACGAATGTAAAAGAATGTATCTTCTGGAGCGGGCGGTGACGCAGCGAACGGTTCGAAGTCCCTGCGAAAGAAGACAACACAAATTTACTTTTACGTTTAATTCCCGACTTTTATCTCCTTATTTCGTTTAAACTACACACATACACACTTAACAGTCCTTAATACAAAATTATCACTAATTACTTTTTCAAAGTTATATAATAGAACACTTACGAAATTATGGTATTGAACTGAGCTACAATGTTACGCTTTCTAAACATGATAGATATTTTAATTCAAGAATATTTAATTGAAAAATGAGCAGTCTTTATTGTTCGGCTGGTTCACGAAAACAGTCTGGATTTATTTATACCGCGGTACAATTCTTGGAATAGCAAGTATTATTATCACGAGATGGCGCTCTATATAAAACAGTAGGCACAGCACTGAGGCGAAGTGAAAATATTTGAGTATCAGTTTTGCCTTTTATAGGCGAGTTCTCGCGGCTTGTTGTTGGTATGGCACTAATCTTATCACGATTATAACAGTGTGAACCACTGTTGTGAAAAATAACACGCCTCGGTGACGTCACGAGTTTTCGACCAATGTGGCGAGCTCGTTAGCACACTCCCTCGACAAGAAGCACATGACAAAACAAAATAGATCTAGAGGTCGAAGACAAATCTGAAAATAGTTACGTAGAGAATTCTGCGTCACCCATAAACATACGTTTTGGCACAGTCTGGAGGAGTCGAATTAGAATTTTATGACGTTAATAGAAAGTTTCCTAAGCGTGTGTTGTAGGATAGTAAGCCCACCTAGGATTACTATTCATAAACACGCGAGGTATATATTGAAATCAATACACCCCAGAAGACTCATAAATTAAATAAAACAAAATTAACGAACAACATTAAATCACACTTTGTTATGAAATCATAATTATGAAATGTAGAATTTCTTAAAAAGATTTTCTTTTTTGCTTTAATCGCTAACTATAGATTTATAAATCAAATCGGCTGTTAATAACAAAAGAATATTTAAAATCGGGCAAAAGTTAAAAAAAATTGCTAGACTAGATAACTCTTTTTTGATTAATAAATTATTATTAAAACAGTATTTGTATATATTTTTGGCAGACCATGTATGGACTATCGGTCATCTCCTTTAGAGCCTTATTGGATTGGATAGAACGTAGAATAAATTAAAGCACTGTAGAAAATACTTCAAAATCAAATAATTTCCATTCCAATATCGTTGAATTTTTGAACCAGTACATATAAACATAAAACAAATCATGAAAGAAAGCAATATTACATAAATTATTAAACTTACGTTTTAATGTTTACTTTTTTCACTGAAAATGTACCTTCTTATTTGTTTCAGGGCAAATATAATGAGACTAGGATAGAAATATTGATGTATAATCGCTACAGGCTATAGCACTCTAAAAACTATTTTAATTGTTATTATTTCTATAAATTAATTTTATCTGTAATTTATTGGGGCTATTTCGATTCATAATATTTTTATATATGTTGTTTTTATTCGATTGTAATTCTTTGTATAATGCATTAATTTTAACCGGGATATTGTCAATTGAATGTATTTTTTTATCTCAGTTAGAAGGCTTTTAAAGGCTTTTTAATTGACTGTTTACCAGCATTTGTTGCTTCTATTCTATAACGCATGAGGTCTTCAGCTATAATTATAATAACATTAAACTTAAGCACTTTATCATTGCCTGCTTGATTGTTGTGTCAATGTTAATTATGTTGGTGATCAAATAAATAAATAAAGTAAATAAAGCAAAATATTAGAAAACCTGAATAAATAATACGTTTTGAAATAGAGCAAATGGAAAATAATTATATTATGTTTATACTTACACACGAACAAACACAAATAAATGTGGAAGAAAAACATTACAGTAACGTCATTCGATATGCATAATATAATGCAACATACTGACTAAACTCTATTTTGAACAATGACGCAATTAATTTTGCTTCTTATTTAGAAAAAAACTAAAAGAGAAAATTTTAAGATTATACGCTCAATTATTAATAAATTAATAATAGTATAGTCAATCTGTAGGTTGAGTGGTGAAAAAAAAACCTAAAGGGTAAGTCTTGTTTTTCCTGTTGCCAAATGACGTCAGTAAGCCACCTTGGCGATGGGCATGTTCAACTCCTAGGCGTTTATTAAAAATCTCAAAAAAACCCTCAAAAAAATTTTGGAACGCAGTTTTCTTGTTTTGTGTGCATTTTAGAAACTTTTTTTTCGACCATAATTGTAGAGGGCGTTGAGTACTACAATTTATGTCATTGTTGCAATCTCGTACAACAAAAAATGCGCATTGTAGGTGGCGCTAAAGTCTCAAAAAAAGTGTTTTATCACTTTTTCACCCGGAAAATATCATTTTAATGGAAAACTTTAAATGGAAAAGTTGTTCCGTATTAATTAATTTTGCTTCTTATTTAGAAAAAAACTAAAAGAGAAAATTTTTAAGATTATACGCTCAATTATTAATAAATTAATAATAGTATAGTCAATCTGTAGGTTGAGTGGTGAAAAAAAAACCTAAAGGGTAAGTCTTGTTTTTCCTGTTGCCAAATGACGTCAGTAAGCCACCTTGGCGATGGGCATGTTCAACTCGTAGGCGTTTTTTAAAAATCTCAAAAAAACCCTCAAAAAAATTTTGGAACGCAGTTTTCTTGTTTTGTGTGCATTTTAGAAACTTTTTTTTCGACCATAATTGTAGAGGGCGTTGAGTACTACAATTTATGTCATTGTTGCAATCTCGTACAACAAAAAATGCGCATTGTAGGTGGCGCTAAAGTCTCAAAAAAAGTGTTTTATCACTTTTTCACCCGGAAAATATCATTTTAATGGAAAACTTTAAATGGAAAAGTTGTTCCGTACATAATTACCAACAACTTTTGCATAAACATTTTTTTTAAATTACTTACAGTTTTTAAGTTACAGTGCAATACAGCGCTACGTATACAACACAGTGCTGCTAACGGTAATTTTTTCGGTCCTATGGAGACTTTTTCTTTTCATTATTACAATCATGAAAAAAAATTAAAAATAGTAAAACGTACATTGAAATGTGCACTGCAAATGTGTACTTGAACTACCCAAAACCGCTCTATTGGATTTTTCATACCTGCGCAATTTATAACTTGAAAACGGTAAGTAATACAAAAAAAATGTTTTTACAAAAGTTGTTGGTAATTATGTACGGAACAACTTTGCTATTTAAAGTTTTCCATTAAAATGATATTTTCAGGGTGAAAAAGTGAAAAAACACTTTTTTTGAGACTTTAGCGCCACCTACAATGCGCGTTTTTTGTTGTACGAGATTGCAACAATGACATAAATTGTAGTACTCAACGCCCTCTACAATTATGGTTGAAAAAAAAGTTTCTAAAATGCATACAAAACAAGAAAAATGCGTTTCAAAAATGTTTTGAGGGTTTTTTTGGGTTTTTCAAAAAACGCCTACGAGTTGAACATGCACATCGCCAAGGTGGCTTACTGACGTCATTTGGCAACAAAAAAAACAAGACATACCCTTTAGGTTTTTTTTTCACTGAAACGATTTTTTTTTTCGACAGATTGACATAGTTTTGCTTAACCAAGTGACTCAGAAGTAGAATTTTTATGTGAATAAGGATGACAATATAACTTAAGGATTATTTTCTTCGTCTATCAGGTAGGTTATCAAAAAGTATTGGACACGTATTTCTTCTATATTCTCATAATCAAAACATCAGAGACATTCGACAGATATTGATTTTAAATGTCGCATGCCGTCACGTCTTGGTACAATTTTTACTTAGAAGTGACGTCACTCCCAAACTTTGACGCAGTTTATCTTGTAATTTTTTGTTCCGATCGACAAAACAAAAAATACGTGTTCATTATTTTTAAGCTATTGTATAGCTTTTATCGCGGGCTTTGAGCGCGGCGACCAAGAGTAGTGATGAAAACGAATATTAAGAAATAATCATAACTGTAAATTCTCATCATTGAAAGCAAATAAATATTTGATTTAAATGCCATTGTTCCTTGTTTTATTTTTATTCATTAACCGACTAACGAATAAAATAATTTATTCGTCAATCGAATAATTTTCCTTTGAATAAAATAAATTATTTATTATTCGTGAATAACGACTTAGCAATTTATTCATTCGTTATTCGTCATTCGAATAAATTCTGCCCAACTCTGCAATCCAGTATTAATCTAAACGGCGCAGTGTGTTAAATCTTTGCCACCGGTACCAACGGTCGACGCATCACCGCGGTCGTCGGTTCAAATCCCGTACTCGTGTTTTTTATTTTTTATTATTATTTTTTTCCTTTTTTTATATATTTGTTTTCGACTCTAGCACCTGTTCTTATTTTTATTTGTATCCCTTTTATTTAGACTTTATAATTATAATTTAAATTTTTGGACTAAAGATAGTAATATGTGGAGCTTGTGGAAGTTTTTTGGTGCTAGGCAATGCTGTTATTTTCTGTGCTTGGCCAATAAAATATAATAATGCCTGCCTCGCCATATCGGAAAAGGCGTGTGTCAACAAGGACTGGATATACCCGAACTGCAAGAAGAGCACACGCAGGGGTGACAACACGCATACGCCTGTAAAGGATATCAGCGAATCTTCCGAGCGCGAAAAACTGGTTGCTGCACGGGAACCTGTCGACCTGGCCAGTGGCTCTCCAAAGGAAGATGAGGTCTAGGGTAAGGCCAAGGAGAACGCCGCCGGAAATAATCACACCAGTGATATAAAAAGTATGCTGGCCGACTTCATGAAGGAGATAGGGAATTCCGCTCGGAGATGGCGGCTTTCCGTAGTTCTTCTACCGCTTTTAATTACATAAGTTGATAAAAAATGCTATGCAATAGCTTTACCGCGGCAGTCCCCGAGTGCTACACATAATTTTTTGATAATCTGACGGAATAAATAAAATGTAGTTTAATTTAACCCGACAGCAGTATCGATTCTGGCATGATTCTTTAAACCTAAACTTAAATTTGATAGCAGTGTATCCTTGTTACACTCTATAC